TGGTTCAGGAGCTGAAGTTCTGAAATCATCCATTACCTTCTCCAGTTTGAAAATGAAATAGCCTTTAAATTGGGACCATTGAATCCTATAAAGCAAATAATTGGAAAACTCATTAACACCAAGTTGTCCTACAATTCCTGAACACAAAACACAAATACAGGCCATACAATGATGCTAATGCCAATAAATTAAGAAATTAATTAGTGCAAATGTCTACTTAAGAGTACTTTGTGGGGCTAAAGAGTTGGCTCAGACGTTAAGACCAGCCACTCTTGCAGAAGATCCAGGTTCAATTCCCAGCATCCACACAGCAACTAACTACTATCCTTAACTTCAGTTCCATGGAATCCAATGCCCTCCTGTGGCCTCTGTGGATACAGCATGTACACTGTGCACTTAACATAATACATGCGTCTAAGACCTAAAACTCACATCCACAGAAATAACAATTTTTTTTTTTTTAAAGAGCACACTGTAAGCTGGGCATGTACTTCTGTATTTTTACTGCCAAACTGGTTGGAACCACATATCATGTATATATCAAATGACAAAGTAGCCTAAAAATTATTGACTGAAGTCAGGCGTGGTGGCACACACCTTTAATCCCAGCACTTGGGAGGCAGCGTCTAAGACCTAAAACTCACATCCACAGAAATAACAATTTTTTTTTTTTTAAAGAGCACACTGTAAGCTGGGCATGTACTTCTGTATTTTTACTGCCAAACTGGTTGGAACCACATATCATGTATATATCAAATGACAAAGTAGCCTAAAAATTATTGACTGAAGTCAGGCGTGGTGGCACACACCTTTAATCCCAGCACTTGGGAGGCAGAGGCAGGCTATGTTTGAGGCTAGCCTGGTCTATATAGCGATAGGATACAATGGTTAAAGTGTGTGTTGCTCAGGCATGAGGACAGCAGTTCAGATGCCCAGAACCAAACACTGGGTGGGTATGGAGGCCTGCTTGCAATTGCAGTACTTAGGATGTAGAGACAAGGGGATCCCTGGAGCAAGCTGGCTAGCTACACTAGCCATATCAGCAAGCTCTGGGTCCAATTGAGAAACCTTGCATTAATGACTAAGACGGAAAGTAATCAAGTAGAGCTCCCAACATCAACCTTTGGCCTCTGTATACACAAATGAACATCTACACACATGCACACACACAGAGACAGCGAATACAAATACGCTATCTACTGTTCTTATCTATTCATTGTGGTAGGACAGTGAAACACTCCATCCTACAGGGAAGCTCCTTAAAACTTAGGAAATTAACAACCCAGAAGCTTCAGGAAGTCCACGAAACTGACCAGATGCAATAGGCCCCCTAGTCCCCAAGCTTATAAAAGCAGTAAGAACAGCTAAGAGCCATTCTCACACAAGCTAAGCTGCCTAGAAAAGACAGTCTGCCTGTCCAGCCACCTGCAAGTTGTTCAGTGAGCTCCAGCTTTGGTGAGCTCTTACCTGTGCTGGGTTGGGCTTTCAGTGATCCAGCTGTTTTTGAGTCGTCTCTGTTACTATAAGTAACCTCAATACACTCATTGATTCACCATTCTGAACAGTCGTGGTATTCTTATTTTGGTGTGTCCCTATTGGAGTGAGCAGATGTTCAAGTCTCCCCAGGAAGTTCCACACAACATTCATTCACTGAACCTTTTCTTATCCACCCCTCACACTAGTAAGGTTAAGAGAAA